CAGTACGTGTTGTGATGAGGCCACTTCTGTTTTTTTGGCGAACCCCGGTCTTCTCGTGGCCAAAACTATTCACGGCCTCGTAACGAACAAAAAAAAAGTCAGCGAGAGAGAAGCCAGACCCGACCCGCGGGCTCGGGCGGCCCGATCTTATCTCTAGTCAGTGTCACCTGTCAGCTCATTGTCGTCCCGGTGCGCCGTTTTATTTCGAATCACCCGCGAAACTATTTGTTGGCGGTGATGTCGGAATCCCGTCTCACGAAGCTTCGGGCGGAGCAACGCGCGTTCCGAGGCATCGGGCGTGGCCACAAGCGAAATCGACACATGCCTCGAAGCGCGCTTCGCAGATTTTCTTCCGGTTTACTCGGCACACGCATCGGAGCCTCGGCACAGTCGGGCACATCACTACCGACCACTCATTGTCAGGTCATTGTTGCTTGTTCGTTTGTGTTGCTGTTTGTTTGCTACTGTCATGTTTGTTCCGGTCATGTTTCTGTCATGGTTCTGTTCCAGTGTTTTGAGCTTCAGTCATGGTTTTGTTTGATACTTTGGATTCGTTTTGTTGTTAGTACCTTTTTGTTTAGGATTTAGTTTTCTGTGTTTTATCAATACACTTCTTCAAGTACACCCTGCTCCTCCCTCTTCCCTGCTTTTTGGGGTCCACCACCACCACGCAACATGACACATATAAAGTGCTGTAAATTAAACAAAGCCTGTCTGAGGCACTTATACTGAAAGAGGACAATACTTATATAGCTTATAAAGTGCTGTGAATTTAACTGGGGAGACCTTTAAGAGGAAGAAAAACAATGAAACACATGTAAACTTGTGTATATACATGTTCAAGGCTGAACTTGATCATGCTGTATGACATGCATATACTGTCGAGTGCTGTACCAGCTTGGGGCACTTTTACTCAGAAAGATAATAATAATAACTAGCGCATTACTGGGCAACGACCATGACGACCTGCCGGCATGCAGGATTTGGAACAGAGCAGAGGAGAACACACCAGTCGTAATGGTGTGGCGATATCCCAATATGCCAGTAACCCAGGGGGGTCCAAACTCAGTCCTCAAGGGTCCCTGTTTTCCAACTGTTACTGCTGCAACAACGCCTGATTCAAATGATCAAGATCTTGCTTCTTCAGAGCTTGCACCTTTGAATCAAGTGTGTTTCAGCAGGGAGTGATGGAAAACAGGCAGGACATCGGCCTTTGAGGACCGAGTTTGGACTCCCTGCAGTAACCCAAAATGGCAGGGCTGCGAGAGAGGTCCCTTCATAGCTGCTTGCAGTTGTAGTTGATATTTTTTATGAAAGGTGGCACGGTCGCTGAGTAGGTGGCACGTCCAAGAGTGTGTGTGGGTTAAAATCTGGCTTTGGCATTGCTGTGTGGATTTTGCATGTTCTCCCGGTACCTCTGTGGATTTTCTTCAAATTCTCAGGGATTTTCTCCCACATTCCAAAAATGCGCATGGTAGATTGAATTACAGTAAAACTCTTATTTGTCCGTAGGTGTGAGTGTTTCCTTTTTTTTTGTGCCCTGCTATTAGGCTGGCGAACAGTTCATAGTGTAATATTTCTCTGCCCCCCCCGCCCCCCCTCCCAGAGTCAGCTGATTGGGTCTAGCATGCCTGTAATCCTATTAAGGATGATCGAAACAAAGGATGGATGCATATTTTTATTGATGGATATTTTCATTAAATTTTTGGTCTTAAAAGATGATGGGATAAACACCGTGCGTTGGGGTGCGATATCCGGTCGACTGAATTTGAATTGTTTGTTGTGTAGGTTACTGTTCATCCCGACGTTTTACTGTGAAATGGCCGGAAGTGACTTTTCTAACATTGTTGTTGTATTGTCGGGCAGGAAAAGGCGTCGTTAGTAAACAGCGTAAAAGCGAAAAGACGGTTTCGGTTAATGAGTGACATCACCGACAAAAGACGTCTCCTAATCGGTGCCGCTAAAGATCCACGGTGCAATTCGGTTGTCCGTCGCTGGCTCAGCTTGTCACTTTGACAAAGCTGAGTTCTGGGCGTCAGCCTGTTTGCTAGCTAGCGGAGCCTCCTAGTAGTAGCAGCAGCAGCAACCGAAACAAGCGGCAGCAGCAGCAGCAACCGAAACAAGCGTTAAGCATTTGCAGCGGACGACGATGATAGCGCTTATCAACAAACTGCTGGACTGGTTCAAAGCGCTCTTCTGGAAGGAGGAGATGGAGCTGACCCTCGTTGGCTTGCAGTATTCCGGGAAGACGACCTTCGTTAATGTGATAGCGGTAAGAAATCCATAGCTATTCGCAAGCAGCTGTTAGCATCTGGCTGTATCCATTGTTGACCTCGGTGCCTTTATGTCAGCCTTTAATGGCTCCTCGTTCTTTGTAGTCACCAACATATATGTTTTAAACGTATAAGAATTCAATACGCTTACTACTAAGCGTGTCATAGCAGCCGACAGCCGAGTCATGTTGTTTGAAGTTAAATATTTTAAGTCAACTGACATCAGCACCGGTGGATGATGGGAAGCGAGCACATGCTGTCAGCAAGTCTGTAAAGAAAAGACAACATAAATACGAAGACCCCACCTTGAGTTGGTTGACCCTGAGGGCCTATCTGGGAATGGAGTAACGGTGCATCATACTCGCCGTAGCGAATAGTGAAGCCACCGGCGGCCTTCTTATGTTGTCACTAATTAAGTGCGAAAAACTTGAATACATTGATTTCTCTGCAGCGTTTTCACGTTTTCTGCTACATGCACATTACATTCGTAAGATTGCGATTATAAATTTCCTCGTATAAGGTTTCGTCTGCATCACTCTGTCAGAGGTATAAATGATGATGAAGTGAATACAAAGGCCTTTAAAAAAGTGTAAACCTCACTTCTATAACAAATCACGATACTGAGATAATATACTCGGAAGATGTCAACGCAAACAACGAAGTTTGTTCTTGGAGAAGCTCTCATTACTCCATACAGGGATCCTGGCATGAAATATGCAGAGATGAAAGTCCTCCGGATTTTCCCGGAATTCCGGGTTTTTCACATTTTTATGAAAATCTCTCCGGAGAATTGAGGAAAATTTGCCGAAAATTAATCCGGATATTAGTTGACAACATTGAACGAAGACGCGTTTGAGTTCGTTGTTTTGCTTTCACGAGCGTAGCCCTGTTGAAACACTAACACTAGTAACAGTAGAGATTTTCGTCTCTTTATCAACACATTTGCTAAACCCCAGTGGAACGAATAAAAGACACCGTGGACAAGACAGTTGTCGTAAAAAATATATTTGGACAAAAAGGGAAACACAGATTGGCAGAAATACGTGTCCGTCCGACTTCGAGTGTCGTCTCGGCTAGCTTAGCTGTTGTTGTGTGTGACGTCAATGCGTCGGCGCTTATTGGTTGAAATCAAAAGACGCGCTTGCGTACATTTTCGCGCTGACGCACGCATAGTAGAGAGCAGCGGAGTCAGCGGACTAGCTCGAGTGGCGTCGCCACAACAGTAATACCCTCGCCTCGCATTCTCATGGCCTCGCCATATCTCTGAGATTTCGAAATTTTGGCGAGAACCCAATTAGCTTGATTTGCAGGCCCGAGCCCTAACCAAACCTGACATTTCCTATTAAATTTGTGATGACTCGGGAGGAGGAGGGGTGATTTGTGAAAACAAATTAAAGCCTATCTTTTGTCACGAAATCTAAGTTAAACAAGTCTGTATAATTATTTACATATTTTAAACATGTATTTCTGTTTCTGCAGAGGGTACATTAACCGACGATTTTCCATCATTGACGGATTTTTTTTAAGAGTGGACGGGGAAAATTTAAGGCCGTCCGTCATTTTGACAGGTTGAAAATTGAGCCATTCACCACAGCAGCAGTACGTCCTTAAGAATTGAGTGCGGCACTTGAAGAGAGAAGCAGCGAGACCAAAAAGAACAATAGCCCTGTTCACATGGCACACATTTGGTCCGACGCTGCACCGAAATATTTTGTTGCGATGTATTTTACACCGGAGCAAATTTTGTGGAGCGTTCACACGTGCAAAGCCGCTGAGCTGACAACTCCGGCGCAGCGTCGAAGATCACACGTGCAGTTTCTGCTGCGGACCAAAACGACAGGAATGCAGAAGTACAACAGGTTCGGGTCGGTTCGGGCTTCTCTCTCGCGGACTTTTATTTATTTTTCTTTTAATAAATATTATGGCGGACACTATTCTGTCCTTGTTCAGAATAGATCCACTTGTTGGCAGTCGTGGAATAAAGACGTGTTTACAGTCAATCGTGTGTGCTCCTTATGAATGCCACAAAATCTGTTTTTAAAAAATTTATACTAAAACGATGTGCGGATACTAAACTAAGGAGCTGCTTCGGACCAAACGTTGCCGTGTGAACGGGGCTAATGACGGCTGGATCATAAAGATATGAAGAAGTTTTTTGAATTGTCATTGCGAGAGTTTAGTACAGTACGTGTTGTGATGACGCTGCTTCTGTTTTTTGCGAACCACGGTCTCTCGTGGCCAAAACTATTCGCGGCCTCCAAAAAAAAACAAAAGCCCCGTTGACACGGCAACGTTTGGTCCGACGCAGCTCCGAAATAAATCCAGCCGAGCGTTCACACGTGCACATTTGCTCCGGCGTAGCTCCACTAAAGAGCTTATACCGGACCAAATTTGATCCACCTCAGGGAGGTGGTTTAAAAATTTGCTCCAGAGCAAATGCTCGTTTGCGACGCTACGCCGAAACAAATGTGCACGTGTGAACGCAGCTGGATTAAATTTGCTCCAGAGCAAATGCTCGCTTGCGGGGGAGTGGCCTCGCTACGCTCGCTACCAGACACGCACGGAATCCGACCCCGGTCGACAGTGACGAGGGGGCCAGCGACACAGACGAAGCCCGGCCATGGACCCCCGTCCCCGGTAAAAGTGTCGGCGATTTAAGCGGTGAAGACAGCGCTCACGATGAAGACGAGAATCGAGAAAGCAGTGACGTCAGCCGAGCCCGATTTGCAGGCCCGAGCCTGAAGCAAACCCGACATTTCATATTTTATTTGTGAGTATTTTTGGGAGAAAAAAAAAACAAGATTTCTTACGGTTAAAATAATCTACATATTTTTATGAACATTATCAATGCATTTGCACAACGAAATAACGCTGAAATACAGAATAAGAGGCCAGACAAAGAGAAATCTCGATGTGCATTTGCTTAATTACGCAGAGAAATCCTGCGGCTTACTAGGCTTTAAATAGAATAATTCAAATGAAATAAATAGGTAAAGATATCTGAAATTATTTCTACAGGATTGTTTAAACGAAATTAACATACATGCGCACTGGTCTGGCCGGCCGCGCTCCTGTTTAGCAGTTAAATAGCAATTAAATTACAGCGCATTCTCTGTTTTATCCAAATTGTTTGTTTTAAAACAAGTATTCCTTAGTTTAGTATCCGCACATTGTTTTAGTATACATTTTTTAAAACATATATTGTGGCAGTCATAAGGAGCACACACGATTGACTGTAAACACGTCTTTATTCCACGACTGCCAACAAGTGGATCTATTCTGAACATGGACAGAATAGTGTCCGCCATGATATTTATTAAAAGAAAAATAAATAAAAGTCCGCGAGAGAGAAGCCCGACCCGAACCTGTTTTACTTCCGCATTCCTGTCGTTTTGGTCCGCAGCAGAAACTGCACATGTGACCGCAAGTGGAACTGCTCCGGTGCTGCGCCAGTGTTGTCACGCTCAGCGGCTTTGCACGTGTGAACGCTC